TATATATATATATATATATACATATATATAACCAGCGCTATATATAACCCAGCGCTCACACGCTGGGTTGCACTGGCACGAGTAATTGCTATCTGTTCCATAACCACATCGTCCCTGACATGAGTCCAGCGTATCTGGAAACAAACCGGACAGACTGGTGTTATAAACACACTGACATCCTTGTTCTGCCTGTAATATGATCATAATAAAAATGCAAAGATGGGTTAAAAAATAAATGACTTACTGCTGAAACCCAGGGTCAAACAGAGTACAAGGACAGCAAGGAGCTTCATCTTTGCTTAGCAGCAGCCTGATATCTGGGTGTACTAACTGTTATGGCCTTTCCTTTATGTCAAAGTGGGGTGTGGTTTTTGCCCAACTACCATCAGAGAGGTAGGGCATACTGGTTCAGGGACCATTGGAGGTGGAGTTAAGTGACAGAGCACCTATGCACAGGTTACTCAGCTTTAATTCTCTCAAGTAGTCACTTGTTGGAACATGATGGCCACACATACATTTTGACCACACCAGCAGGCATCAACATGGCAGCAATTGCATCACGTTTTTAAAGAAGAGTCTGTGGTTATTGTTGTTTGGGTAATCCCAAGTGCTAAATACACCCAACCACAGTGAAGGGCACAGCTTTTAAAATGAGAAAACAATAGCATTGTTAACCTGATGATGGGAACCCACTAGTAGCAGCACACATATGTATGTCAGCAGCTGATGACACAGTCGGTAATGAACTGACAGCACCTTTAGAGGTGGTTGAGCTCCAAGGGGATATGGCAGGGGGGACTGTGGCACCCCCTAAACTAAAGTGCCCTCACCTCCCCACAGCTGGAGCTCCAGGCCTCCACTGGATTTTTGTTCTTATAGAGAAGTTCTCAAGGTGCTTGAAGGAAACTTCAGCATCATGTCCTGAACTTGAGAGGAAAACTGCATTCAATTCACATGAATGCTAACTACGCCATTAAAAAAGTGGGACTTATAGAAATTTAAACCAGGAGATTAAATGCTTCACGTTCACAATGGTGCAGAGTAGAGCCATTGCTTCTCCACATTGAAATTAGGCAGTTAAGATAACTCTTTATTGCCATTGCCCATTCATACCTAGTACAATAGTACAACAAAATTGGAAACTGTCCAACGTCAGCACCAAGCGCAACTAAAAGCAAGAAAACACAAAAAAACACAGTAACTTTTCATTTCTTTTAAAAGTGCAAGAAAAGTATGAGCAAAAAATAGGAATGGCTTAATAAATAAAAGAACGAGTGAATGTTTATTGCACATTAATATTATTATATTAAAAAATGTAAAAAAAAAATACTGATTAGGGCTATTGCCCTGTTGTAAAAGCTCTCCTTGAGTCTCCTGCCAGACGGCAGCAGCTTAAACACCCGGTGTCCTGGTTGTGTACAGTCCCATAGGATGCTGTGTGCCTTCCTGAGACAGCGAGTGCTGTACAGCTGCTTCAGGGAGGTAAGAGGATGGCCAATGATTTTTTGGCCCATATTAATGACCCGCTGAAGTGCCTTTTTGTGTGCCGTGGTGCAGCTGGAGAACCACACACAGATGCCGTATACCAGCACACTTTCAATCGAGACGATCAGCAGCTCCCTCTTCAGGTCCATTTTTCTGAAGATTTTCAGAAAATGGAGACGCTGTCGGAGCTTCTTCACTACTGCCGAGGTGTTTGAGCTTCATTGGAGGTCTATATGCACACCCAGGAACTTGAAGCTGGACACGTTTTCCACACACTTCGTGTTGATTCTGATGGGCTGCAGCATGGTGGTGGTTGAGGTGGTTTGGGCACCTGATTAGGATGGCTTTCTGTGGCACACCCATAAGTCACTGGAGCAATTCTATCTTGGCTGGCTTGTGAACAACTTGGTGTGCCCCCATGTTAATTACTCTCTGTGCAACCTGCTCTCAGTTGTGAGCCCTGTGTACCAAACACCCAGGCAGTAGGAGAGCACACTCTCCACTGAGGAGGTGTAGAAGGCCAGCAGCAGCTTCTGGTCCAGATTGTTCTTTCTCAGGACACGGAGGAAGTGCAGCCACTGCTGTGGCTTGGTGTTGTGGGTTTAGGTGAGATCGGTGGACATGTGGGTGCCCAGAAATCTGAAGTTGGAGACAGATTCCACCCATTTTCAATTTATAATAATTGGGGAGTGGATCTTCCTGTGCCTCCTGAGCTCTTTTGTTTTAAGGATGTTCAGTTTCAGGTTATTTTCTGAGCACCAGTGGGACATGTTCTACCTCCGCCCTGTCACTGCCCCATCTCCATCAGAGATGAGCCAAACCACGGTGATGTAAAGAGCATTTGTTGGGTGGGTTGGTGTGCACTCATAAGTGTGCAGTAGATCTGGTACTGAGTATCAGGGGAGGGGCAAGGTGGGGACTGAGTAGGCCTGATTGAGGCTGGTTGGTGAAGAAGTCTTTGATCCAGGAGCAGATGACAGGGGGAATATGAAGATGGTCCAGTTTTTTGGTGAGGATGTCTGGGATTATGGTGTTGAACACTGAGCTGTAGTCCACAAAGACTGTCTCCACATAGCTCTCCCTGTTCTCGAGAAGGCTCAGCACTGTGTGAAGGGTGATGGTGATGGCATCCTCCGTGGACTGATTTGTTCTGTAAGCAAACTGGTAGGGGTCGAGGGGGTAGGGTAGATCGTCTCTGATGTGCTGACACTGATACTATCCGCTCAAAGCACTACATGACTGTAGACGTGAGGTTTATAGGTCTGTAGTCATCGAGGCTGTCTATACCAGTTTTTGGGGGGACGGGAATGATAGTGGAGGCCTTCAGGCTCTCCTGGGGTTAACCACTCGCAGTCTCCTCCTGACCTATTGTTCCTGATGGATGGATGGATGGATGGATAACATAAATGTATGCCTGCCAATCTGGTTGATGACCAATGTTCTGCAGTACTAGTATGCAGGATGAAAACTAGTACCACCCTCTGTTGAGACCATGTCAAACTGCAGTGACTCCACTGCATGAAGGAGTCCAGCCACTGGCTTCATGCTGGATCTAGCTTCACGGCTCTGTAGATTCATGTCAGTCCAAAAAAAAGTGTCCTTTGGATTGAAACACCAACTGTTGCAACACTGGAACAAATTACCCTGTTAGCAAATGACGCTCAATAAAAATGAGAGTGAGAGATGGTGTTTTAAATGACAAATTAAGAGCTGATGCTTTCCACTTTATTGTCACTCAGTGATTACTTTTGTATCTGAAGAAAGCAAGAAAACTGCTTGGTTAATTTTTTTTAAAAATTGCCTTGGCTTGCCAACATTTCTTTGAAACATTTGTCCCGCATGTTGAAAAATGATGTGTAAAGAAGCGTCAGCATGTGATGAGTTGGAGCTCACTATCTCAAGTCACACTGTCACTACGACTGGTGCATTACACATTACACACCTTGTGAGTTTTGCTGTTATTTGAAGCTTGCAACTGCAACAACAAAACAGGCTGGTTCCCCAACCTAAGTCAGCCAGTGAGCCTGTGTGGTAGTGAGCTGTAGTTTTCCCCAGCTGCATAAAGAGAGGTGGCTGAGGGAGTTCAGAGAGCAGTGCCAGGTGGAGCTGGTTAGTACAGCTGCTGTGCATTGATTATTAAAGTTTTCTTCCCTTATGGAGTGTGGTGCTGGGACCAGTCCATGCCGGCATACACCGACACACCAGCCGTGAGACCTTGTTTGAAAGCAGTCTTTTGTGTTATTGTTGTGAGTTGTGTGCTATCAGGAATGCCAGGCATACCACAAAGGAGCACACAGCCTTTATGTTGTTCAAGTGTGTGTGCAGTTAAAAGAAAATAATAAATTACAAATTCACTCGAACAATCCGAAAGCAGCACTCACATTACCCAGACCCATAAGTCATGTCACTTCATCACAATTGCACCTTTTATGCAAAACACACCAGTGTGCTTTTTGAGGTGTTATCTTAATTAATTATGTATTTATATGATTGAAGTTATATTTGAATCACATTTAAAAAAAATATGTATCAATCTTTTTAAGGATAAACATCTCCAGTTTTTTTTCTCTTCAATGGAAACTACATTTGGTTATCACACAGAGCTTTAACACATAAAAAACATCAAAGCTCATAACATATATGTCATAAGCTGTTTTTGTATATGGAATTTGCCTTGAAAAATAATGTCATTTCCATCAAAGTAATCTGAAGTACATTTATGCATTATTATGGGACCCTCTCTGATTTTTCCACCTGAATGACCAGATGCTGTATTTCACAGGGTTTATGTGAGATAACCCAGAATAGCTCACACATTTTGGTATCTCTCATCATGCGGAGATCACATGCTCAAATGCAACACTAACTGAGAGTGCAACCTTGATTTAAAGCCTGGAAAAATTGATGCCTTGAAATGAAGTTCACTTACAAATAAAACTACTTCTGCAACAAACACTGGTTTGGATTTTTCTTGGGATGCCTGATGACATATAAATGTTTGATTTTCCTACCCCAAAAGTACACATGAGGGTTCATGCCCCCCCCCCAAAAAAAAGAACTTATATTGCATAAGTGCATATTTTGTGCCCATATTATGTGCATATTTTCTCAACCAGATTTATTTTAATTTAAAATCTGGAAAGAACTACAAAATTGCTGTTTAGCCTTTGGGCTTTTAACCTTTGAGAAACACATAAAATATTGTAGTGTTATTGTTGTAGCCTGTGTTATAGCCTGCCCTGCAGTGTTATATTTGATCGACAAATTTTCAACACGATTTTGAACATTTATATTGAAAATGTTCAAAATGATGAAACAAGGAACAAAAAATTAGGCAGTTTTGAATTGCTTTAATACAATAATATTTTATAGTGGACAATTGGATTTAAATTCCTTTTGAAGCTAGCATATTTTGATTTGGCAAGCTAAAGGTCACCGAGTACACAATGCATACTCAAAATCAATAAGTTGCCCTAAATTAGCCGTCTTAAGTAAGCTTTACTCAATTTTTTCAAGGCAACGAGTTTGCATAGTTTTTTTTTAGTTCTGCAAACTAATTAGATTTTACAGTGACTACTGACCTGTCTGCTGTCTAGTGTCTAATGTGAACACCAGCATTATACTTGGCAGGAAGACAAATTCTGACCCTACTACCCAAATTTTACAGCAGGAAGACATGTCAGACAACGCAACACTTTCCAGTCTTCTACTGTCTAATTTTGCTGATCCCTTGGGAATTGTAGACTCAGCTGTCTGTTTTTAGCAGACACGAGTGGCACCCTCTGTGGTCTTGGTTATACCTTGTATACCTTGGTTGTAACAAGTGTATATAAGGTACTATTATGGTCCACTTGATAGTCATAT